TTAAATACATTCCTTGAGAATTTAATGTCTATGTGGCAAGCACTTTTTCACTTTTATACACACTCTGGATAATGAATAATGAAGGCAAAATTAGTTGTAGAATGCTTGAATTGTCTACAGTTTGACTTTAAGTAAACAGAGATGACTAAAATAAACATCCAAGACATCTACATGTTTTATATGAAGTATGGAAAACATTTTCTTAGGTCAGTGTTTATACAATTTACAGAGTCATAAAACAGTCTATGAAAAATATGGTTCAATGGAGATGACTATTTCATGTAAATCAGTAACAACTGAATAATGTATTTTCCCATAATGAACTTATTCTGCTGGACCAATCAAAGGATAACTCCAGAACCCCAAGCATGAGTTTACATTTTAATTTCCCCCACAGCTATGATTACTTAAAAATGTATGCACCTATTTTCTTCTTAACAATAAAACTAACAATATGTTGAATATTTTGCCATGGAAAGCTAGAGATATATATATCTGAGGTTTTTAAAAAAATTTATATATAAAAATTATACATATTGAGTAGTACTCTGAAGTTTTGATACATGTACACATTGTATAAAGTTTAAATCAGTATAAGCATATTTATCACCAAATATTTATCATTTCTGTATTGTGAAAATATCCAAACTCCTTTCTTCTAGCTTTTTGACATGTACAGTACATTATTGCTATCTACATTTACCCCACTGTACAATATCACACCAGAAATTCTTGCTCCTATAAAACTGTTGTTTAGTACCCATTGTTCAACCTTTCCTATCACTCTGATTCTTGTGGCCATCTCTATAACAAGAGAGGAAATTACAAAGATCAGAGCAGAAATCAATGCTATGAAGACTAAGAGAATGATACAAAAAAATCAATAAATCAAAGAGTTGGTTTTTTGAAAGAATAAATAAAATCAATAAACCCTTAGCCAACCTTATCAAAAAAAGGAAAGAAAAGGCTCAAATCTATGCAACTAAGAATGAAAAAGGAGAAGTCACAAAAGATCTAGCAGAAATCCAGAGGATCATCAAACCTACTCTGAGAACCAGTAGAAAATGAAAAACAGAGAAGAAATGGACAGATTCCTAGATACATACGAATTACCAAAGTTGAATGAAGAAGATATAAAAACTCTAAACACCCCAATTACAATTAGTGAAATTGAAAATGTAATTAAAATTTTATCAACAAAGAAAAGCCCAGGTCCTAATGGCTTCACTGTTGAAGTCTACAAGACATTTAGAGAAGAACAGTTGCCCCTACTCTTTAAACACTTCAATGGTAATTGAAAGGGAAGCAATACTCCCAAATTCATTCCTGGAAGCAAGTGTTACTTTTATTCCAAAACCAGGGAAAGACCCAACCCAAAAAAGAGAACTAAAGGCCAATCTCCCTAATGAACATAGATGCAAAAATCCTCAATAAGATAGTGGCAAACAGAATACAGAGGGTCATCAAGAAGATCATACACCCTGAACAAGTTGGATTTATCCCAGGGATGCAAGGATGATTCAACATACATAAATCAATAAATGTAATAATACACTATATTAACAGACTCAAGGACAAAAACCAAATGATCATCTCAATAGTTGCAGAAAAAGCATTTGACAAAATTCAACATACATTCATGATTTAAAAATGCCATAGAAAATTGGAATAGAAGGCCTTTATCTCAACCTTAAGGCTATCTCTGAAAAACCAACCACCAACATCATACTGAATGGTCAAAAACTGAAAACTTTGGCACTAAAATCAGGAACAAGACAAGGAAGTCCACTATCACCATTTCTGTTCAATATAGTTTTGGAAACATTAGCCACAGAAATTAGACAAAAGAGACCACCCCCCCCCCAGAGTAGAAGAGGTGATCTGCTCCCAGTGCCTAGGAGGAGGCTTCTGGGCCACCATATCACGGCCCCTAGCACAGAGGTGAGCCATGCAAGCACCAGCAGCTCACCCCCCAAGAAATGAGAAGACATGTAAACAAGTCTCCAAACCAGACTTTCAGATCACCTAAAGCAATCCAAAAGGGAAATGAGATGGAAAAATCTGATACTCAACCACCTGGACTCCCTGAACTGGCAA